TAAGAGGAGGGACTTTCCAGATGTGGGGGATCTCGAAGTTTTCAATAATAAAGCTGTGATGTTACAAATTTGCCATTTCAAAATTTGCACCTTTTTACGAGGCTAAACTTTTTTGCAAGATTACAAAAGTTGACACCTGGTGACAGTCCTGCCATAATACAACTAGGATGGGTGGGGAAAAAAAGCCCACGAACTCGTTTTTTTGGACCACGAAAGAAATTGGTCAAAAACTGTGAACCAATTAATTAATATTTGTGCATTGGGTTTTTTTCAATGCTTGTTCTTTGTTGTGGCGGCTCAGCGGTCGACTGCTCAGAGCGTCGGCCTCACAATGCAGAGGTGCAGGGTTCGATTCCGGCTCCGGGCCTTCCTGTGTGGAGTTTGCATGTTCTCCGCGTGCCTGCGTGGGTTTTCTCCGGGTGCTCTGGTTTCCTCCCACATTCCAAAAACACGCGTGGCAGCTTAATGGAACACTCTAAATTGTCCCTTGGTGTGTGTGTGTGAGCGCGGATGGCTGTTCATCTTTGTGTGCTGTGCAATTGGCTGGCAACCGGTTCAGGGTGTCCCCCGCCGACTGCCCGAAGGCAGCTGGGAAAGGCTCCAGCACGCCCGCAACCCTCGTCAGGATAAGCGGATGAGAAAATAGAAGGATGGATGTTCTTTGTTGCCTCGGACTGAGGAATGTTTGACGGTTGTATTCTTCCGAAAACTGAATTATGTCTCCGGGATTATGCCCAGGGTTTGGAGTTGTTTTTGTTCCCAAAATTTTCAAAAAGTTTTCTGTAATTGCGAAGCGGAGCCTGGGTCGCTTGGAGAGGGGAACACTGGGACGTAAAAATGTGACTTACCACTTTCGGACTATGAGGGGTAACGTAGGATATATTTGGTGTTTTTACTCAATAGCTAAGGCGTAGAAAAAAAAGTAGTGTGTTTCCGGTAACCCGACCGACCGAGAATTTCTACGTCGAAAAAAAAACTTTACGGTCGGCATTTTTTTCAAACAA